CAAAAAAGAAAGAAAAAAAACTGCCGCCATTTGCGGTTCGAATTTTCCAGAGAACTTTTGCAACACAAACGTTACACTTTGAATATAACTTAAAGAGCCTGTGACAGCATCCCAACAACTGTTGTGCAATGAAATATTGGGCTACTAGTCATCTCGAACCGTCAGTTTAAAAAAGAAGGTGCGATACCGTTCCGATAAATATCAATAATTTCGAACATCGCGGGGAAATTCCTTCGACTCATTTAGAAGTTTTGGGGGGAGCCGGAAGTGACGTCAATGCGGGAACGCTTCACTGTGCGGCGAGAGAGCCAAACACGGACAAAGTGTGATGTCATGCGTAGAAATGGTGAATTACTGAGTTTAGGCACGTTAATAACGTTTTAATGAAGTTGACTACAGTATATTCATATTTGTCAGTGCTTTCATGTCAATTCGCCGAACATAAACATAAATGATCGTGGTGAAGATGGTGATTAAATTAGGATTAAAAATCGGTAGTGAGAGCTGCTGAATTTCCTCCCGTAGGATGTGATGTAAAAACAAATCGATTATTTTTGTAGTTGTAAACTCAAGTGGATGAAACTACATTTATTAGTGCTTTCATGTCAATTCGGCGAACATATGATAGATTAAATGATCGTGAGGATGATGATTAAAATCGTTTGTTTGAGCCGGTCTGCATTTCCTGATGAGAAAACAAACCGATGCTTTTTGTAGTTGTAGTACACCAACATGGATTAAACGTGTGGTTTTTTTTACCACAATGTTGGGGAAATTAATGGATAAAATGCACGGATTATTATTATTATTCCCACTCCGATCGGGACACTAGGTCCACCGTTTCCCCGCAGCGAGGCTCCCCCCGTTGACAGTTTACGTGGGCTGGGTGCAGTGGCGGACTGGCCATCGGGACGAATCCCGATGCACCGGTACCGAAGTGGGCCGGTCGGATAAGTCACTAGCACATCCCCCATAGGCGGCGCGTGAGGCTCAGGTTTGGGAAGGCTAAATAACTTTTTTTTACCTGACGCTGCCCGCCTCCGGCATCTATAGAACAGAGATCAACTGTGTGGGTGTGTCTGTCTGTTTGCAGTGTGGTTAAATGCCACAGCATGCCAGTTGAAACAGTGAATGATCGTTATTGTGTACTTGTATGCTTAGGGTGTAATGGTATTACATTACATGTCACTTGTTAAACACTTTTATCCAAAGCGACTTACATAGCCTACTCAATACTGTGGGAAATCCCCACAGGAGCAATTTGGGGTGAAGTGTTTTGCCGAGGGACACAACGACATGCTGACTGCAGTGGGGTTTGAACCTGTGACCCCTTGATCCGAACACCAACAGTCAACCCACTGCACCACTGCACCACACGCCTATTATACAAAAATATTGTAGGAGCACAGAAACAGTGTTCAAATGTTGCTTTTACCAACTTATGTTGGTTGTGCTTACCTTGCAAAGTAATGTTATAAGTGTCAAAGGAATGTTTTAATGTAAATATTAATGATATTATTGTAGCGTGTCCAAGTTAATAGTTATGTCAGTTATCAGATGTGCACAGTTTAGTACATTTGTAAAGTTATTTAGGCAATGTTGTTTGTGGGAGTTAGTGAGAGACTGCCCCTTCCAGGTGTGTGTGTGCGTTTTCCGGTGTGTGTGGAGGGAGTATGAGACGGTAGGAGTTGTGTTCGAGTGTGGGGAAAAGTCATGAGTGTTATTGATTGGTTCTGTAAGGTGTGGCTGTGGCCGTCAATAGGCCTACCAGAAAATAAAGAGAACATTTTCGACATTGAAGGCGCGTGATCTGTGATTTTGAATAGCTACAATATGAACAGGCTCGTGCTTGGCCCACTGGTATTGTTTGTTTATTTATTTTGAAAATTAACTAGCAAGAGAGATCTCTTTTAAAATATAATGAAAGTTAGAAACGGAGATGGTTAGATAAAAATGTGCAAGATAACGTTTATGTAGCATTTCTTTATTGTCGAAATGATGACATTTATAACGGGATAAAATCAAAGTGAATGGCCTGCTGCTGCTGAATGCCTGGGGCAAGTGACTGGAAACAGTTTTAAAAGTTATTACATCGTTTCAGATAATAATAATAATGATAATTCATTCTATTTAGGGGCGCCTTTCAAAGCACCCAAGGACACCTTACAATTCATAACATATTCTAAGGAAAGGTTTTAAGACAGTACAAAGAATGCAGAACGGGTGATGTTTTTTTATGTGGGGTGCAGATGAGAGGGAGCTGTCCAGAATGATACCAAGATGTTGTGTTTGAGTTCTTGATAAGCCATTAAAACAGTAAAATACGTGTCTCCTGTTCACCAAAACATACTCATCTGTTATGGAAAAAGAAAGTATTCTAAAAGTAATCTGCCACCGGTACCGGCGGGGATTGTTGTTAGCTTCTGATGCGCAGAAGAAAAATCTGGCCCACCCTATTTTTTACAGGCCCACCCGAAAGTACATTTCTGCCTACGCTACTGCAATGGACTACGTTTAGCTAACAGACTAATTTCCACCACACATAGACCACACCCACCTTTTCTTTTGAAAAACTGGGTGACATACTGTCGCCCTATAGTCCCTCTCTCTTGTCTTTCTCTCCTTTCTTTTCTCTTTTGAAAGCCTGACTTTGTGAGTCGTTGAGACATGGCACACACGTAAGTACTAGCATCCCTTCTCAGACTCACATGCTCTCAGTCACTCTCTGCTGCCAGAAAGAGCGGTGCCGCAGAGCGTTTGGAGGCAGGACCAAACCATTTCATGTAAATAGAGGGGGGTGTACAGAGGCTTTGGATAATAAATTTTTGGAAGAAAAAAAGTGAAATGAATCGTAAGTTTAGTGAGTACATTATCAATTTAACGTTACATTAATGTTAATTGTTGATGATTGATGAAAGGTTACTTAAACATTTTTTCTTAATGTTCTAAAAATGTTTGTGGCCCCTGTCAGTCACGGGCCCTTAGAATCGTCCTAACTTTTCACCCCCTGGGCGGGGTTAGCTACATTTGACCAATCACAAACAGGGACAAGTGTAGCCTACTGACAGCGCAGCGTCATACTTCATTAAGTAAACTAATATTAGACAAATATGAACTTTAAACATCCATGACTTAAACATATAATCCAGGATACAAGCCACATAGTTGCACCTGCAAGGAGAATATAGAACAACTTAAAAAACAACTACAGAGTGTTTAAAAACGTATAACAGTTTTATGATATCACTGCCCCATCTAAGACACGAGTGGATCTGACTTTAATTACATTTGAGTTGAGTGTTTCGTCAACTTAATGTGTTGCTTAAAATAATACGTCTGCATACAGTAGGCCTATGTGACAATGTAAGTGTTGCACGGCCAGATACGGCTCGAGAAGCTGACTCAGATAAGGAAATATTGTGATATTATATGATCGATGATCTGATTGACAAGTGCCAGTGCCTCACCAGCCATGAACCTCACTGCAGAAGCTTATAGACATCTACGTTTTTTGTGCCCCACCACTTTTTACATATAAAAATGCCACTGCGCGCCGCCTATGAGTAACGCACCCATTTAAATCACAGTAACTATAACGGCGTTACTTAATAAAAATAGGTAACTAGTAACGTTATTAGTTACCGCAAAAGGTAGTTGCGTTACAGTAACGCGTTAGTTTGTAACGCGTTAGTCCCAACATTGCACAGCATACATAAAGCAATGTCTCTACAGCTGAGTGTATGCTTTATTGCTTTTATAAAGTTTCATGAATACATGCTTAGTCATGAGATAACTGACCCATGACACTTTAAAAGGACAAAAGTCCCATGATCAGATCAATTGTCACCCTCTCTGTGGTCACCCTGTGACTGGTCAGCCACCTGAGGGATGATATCTCAACTACATTGATCTACTATCTTTTGACATGTTAGGCTTACAGAATATTATTATTCATACAGCATCATAGCATTCAGTTCTTTAAACATCATCACATCCATGACAGCTGCTACACCAAAGTGGTGAGCTCACACAGAAGGAACAGAAGTGTTTTGAAAATGACAAACTCAAGACTCTAGCCTGCTACAATATCTGTGAAGTGTTTGCAGAGTGCAGAGATGGAAAGAAAATGTTGCGAATAGTTTAGCTTAGCTTTCTGCTAACCCTAACCAATGCTTCTAGACCAAAGTGGTGAGCTCATAGAGAATGCTAAACTATTAGCAATAAAGATAAAACATTGCTTAAGGTTCATGCTAGCCACAGTCGTGAGCTTTTGGGTACGGTAAGCCTACACTGTAAAAAAAAAAGAAGTTTTTTCACAGAAATGTACTGTATTATTTTACAGACCTTTCTTGTTTTTCTATATTACGTGTAAATACCATAAAATACAGTAAATTACTTTTATTTAAAATAAATAAAGGTTTTATTCTGTAAATTAGTTTGATGAGAAATTATTGTTTTTTTACAGGATAATTCCATTGTTTAATTGTCTTGAATGTTAAATTACATTGAATTCTATGTAAAAACGCATAAAATGCACATAATTTTACTGCATGTAAAATGAAGGCAACTTTCTTTTTTTTGTTGCAGTAAAACCTTAAATTTAATGTAACAAAATGTAAAAAAAATAAAAATAACTGTATTCTGTACTGTTGTAGAATAAAAAGAAATCTTATTATAAAACATCTCTAAAATGTTAAATAAATGTATACATCTTCACAAAAAATGTAATATATTGCAGAAATACCCAAAAATGATTTTGTGTAAATAAAGTAGTTTTCATAGTATACTAAAAAAGTGTCAAATAAAAAAAACGTAAAATGTATGTAAAAATCTACGGCACTTGAAATGGAATCCAGCCATACAACGGCAGACAAGACAAGCAGGATTGGAATGAGTCCACAACACTCCTGATTGGTTGATATAAACGTCATCCAAAAAGCCTGCCAATGAGCACTGTCGGCGCCTTTCAATCCAATTTGAAACTTCCACGTCAGTTTGAG